GACAAATTTGAATGGGCTGACGTTGTGATCGATGTCACTGATCGTGCGTTTCCGGCAGGTCTCACCATGCCCACCCAGCTCTGTCCCTCGTGTCTCATCTCACGAACTCTCAAGCGTTGTGCACGTTCGGCCTTTTGAATCGAAGCGGACGGAATGATGGCGACATCGGTTCCTCTCTGGAAGACTCTCCTCGTCTGCCCGGTGGACCCCCTCGATCTCTCTCCCCCACAGGCTAACCACAGCCAATTGCAGGGGAGGAGGGGGGAGGAGCCAGAGGAGAGCCAGCGCTTAAGTGGTAAGTTGCGGTGAAGACGCCTTTTTATTTTTCCCCTGTTCCAGGTGAGAACCGCACTGCAGCACATTCAATATCCTCGTACAGTGAGTAGGACTAATCGAATGTCGTTTAATTTTTTTTTTGGTTTTTTTTTTAAATCTTTTTTTGGTGATGCCTTTTGTGCTGGTATTTATATTTCTCTCTGCAGGTTTGTTTGTATGCTGTAGTAGTGTAATGCATGATGGCTACTTCTTGAACTTCCCCGTCAATAGCTATGGCACTGGTTTCGATTTTTATGTGTTTGGTTTGGGCCAAATTCTGGAATGGACAAGTCGAATATCATGCAGCTTTGGTGAAATTAAATGCGAATGCCGTTAAATATTTTCAGCATAGCGATTCCGATTTTATTTTATTTTAAAATATTTTTTCTTATTTCCATAGGCGATGGTCTCACAGACTGGATGACGGAAGAAGTTGATTTTTCCTCTTACCTCCCTACCCCTCATTCCTCTCCCTCTCCCAATTCCTCCCTTCCCCCTTCGCCCCTTCAGCATGACATCCAGGTGCCGTCTGATTTGGAGGTCATGACCTCTCTACTGCAGGAGGAACTAGCTCAGTTGGAGGATTACTTCCTGTCGGACTCAATCCCCGAAAAAGTAGGAAAATTGGGAAAATGTGACAAAATTCCTTCAGTAGTGGGCCCCCAATCATACTACCAGTTGCCCTATGCTTCGTACAATTCTAGCCAATCAGAATCCAGCCCACTTCTTGTTACCCTGGCAACTGGGGAGCTAGACCTGCTGAGCTTTTGCGGCGGCCCCATTGGCCGACCCAAAACCCCTAGACATGCCCCTTACAACTGCAGTCGCCCTATTAGCAATGGTCGTAAGAGAGTTTCTGATGGTATGAGGGCAGGGGAGGGAATAGAGAATAGTATCTGGAGTTCCAAAGGAAATAACTCAGGTAGCCCAGAGGTGACCATTAATGGGAACTACTGCTGTGTTGAGGGTGAAAAATTTGGGAAGGGATATTGTGTTGGTGGTGCGGTTGACATCAGAAAATGCACCATATTGCCAAAAGAGGAAAAAAGTTGTTTCATGGAAAGTACTACTAATGGTGAGAAGATGTTTGGAGGGTATGGTTTTAGTGGGCCACTGGATGTTCCACACAAGAAAGAAGACCAGTTGATGTATGGTGCAAAGGAGGTTAGCGGTAGCGATGACAGCATGGAAATGGAGACGTTTCATGAGAGCAAAAGTTGCGACGTGGCGAAAGCTATCCCTTGGAAGACCGAGACAGGTGAGGGTTGCTTTCTTCATGCCACGGCGGATGCCTACCACAATTTTCTGGGTGTGGTAGATGAGTCTATGAGGGCAGGGGTTGTGGAGGTAGGGCACCGGCATGGTGGGTTCCATGCTGGTTTCCTGGAAGACCAAAGCTCCAAGTGCCACGCTGAAGGTCTTGAGCTGGGGTCTTCTGCTGGCCTGCCACCACAAGGACTCAAGGAAGATCCTGGTACCGTCACGCCAGAGCATGACACTGCCCCGCTGGAAGTTCAAAATGGCGAGCGCAAGCAGAAGAAGAGAGACCAGAATAAGACTGCAGCTCACAGGTGAGAAATGGACTTTAAAACCTCCAGAGGGGTGTTGAAGATACAGGACGTCGAATTTTTTGACAGCAAGAAAAGTTTGTAGAAGTTATTTTTTAAGTTTAACAGTGAATCATGTTGGATGCATATTTTAGGAATGGGGGGCCTATCTGCAGAATTTTGAACGCTTCTTTTGTCTTGCTGTACTTGCTGTTGCCTTGCTGACCATTTTGGTGCCTGCTGATATCTTCAGGTATCGCCAACGGAAGAGGGCCGAGCTGGACTCCCTGGAGGAGCAACTGCATGGGCTGGAAGGGCGGAACCGTGAGCTCCGGGACAAGGCGGAATCTGTCGAGAGAGAGATCCAGTATGTCAAGGACCTTCTTATCGAGGTCTACAAGGCCCGCAGCCAGCGGCTCAAGCAGGATACCAGCGCCTAACCTGGGCCAAGGCTCCTCCATAATGGTTTTGAAGGCAACAGCAGATGGAAAAGTAGTGGGAAATGAGGTCGGAAGGCGGTGATATAATGTAGTGTTTGTGGTTTTTTTTTTTTCCTTTTTTCCTCTTTGGCTTATGGCTATGAAATCGAGAGGCAACCAGCTATGTACTTCCTACTTTTGCACTGTGTACAATGTGCTGATTTACATTGTAAAAGCAGGAGCCGATAATGCCCACCAGCACTGTGAAGCTGTGATGTTTTAGAATACCACAATGTTAGCACATCTCTTCCGATCGGGGTGGTAATCAACCAAGACAAGATCTCATCTAGCACATGTATGAAAGGCGTTGCACGTAACCTTCTCATGCAGCGTTGCATGCTGGCTTTCAGCCCGGCATGCCTTGAATTGGCTGGATTGTGTCTGCTTTGTGTCTCATATTTTTACTATTATTATTATTTTGATTTTTATTTCTTCTGTGAAACTATATTTGTTGGGGGCTGAGTAACTTTGGGTGTCGTCTGTTGGGTTTGTGTGGGCATCGGTGACTGTCACGCGGACGCATCGCACACTCCCCGGTCCAGTAACTCTCGTGAAACAGGTGGGCATGTTTCGCCACAGGCCTCAGCTACGTCCACGTCGAAGCAGTGTCCTCTCTCGGGTAGTGCTGGGATACCCCCTCTACACCTAACCACTGGTGCAAGGACGTTTCAAAGTTACTCACTCACCCCCCAACTATTTTCCAGGGGGGGGGGGAGGGCCCATGTCCGTAATGCATGTCTGAAAGAATAAAAGCGCATGCTAGTCCGTTACTCAAGAGTGAATGTTAGGGAACATAAGTGTCCATCTCTGCATCTCTGCATGGCTTACCATACACAACTTTATAACTGAATGTTTCTATGAGTGACGCTTGCTACTGTGCACAAGTAGAACAGCTCATGACAATTAGCCTTAGATTGCTCCCTCTCTAAGACAATTTATATCTGTCATTTACCAGGATAGCTTCCTTTCACAGTGACCCTCCCCCTCCATCCACTATTTAACCCTCAGTTTGATTGCTATATCTGCGAAAACAATCACAGTTAATACTTTTATACAGATATTGTGCTCTGATTAGTATGACTTTTAAAATTGTATTTTGAGGGGAGATTTTTTAGGTGTTATACCAAGTCACTGTTTTTATATTTTTTCACTAGAATATGTATGATAGCTTGTGATGTTGGCATTTGGATTTTTTGCTTCTAAAGATGCAGTGTCCTCACTCATACGTTTTGATCAGACTTTTTAAATTGGCGCTAAAATATATTACGTGCCTTTTTTTTTTGACTTGCACTTTTATTCGGTGCTAATGCATATAGAACTATAATGCTGAACATATTTATTTCAAACAGCGCACTGATGAAACTGGACTGTGTAATAAAAGCAGAACATAAAGTCCCAGTGTAAATTTAGCTGGGAGAAGATCCGCATCAGTGTATACGCTTATGTTTTATTTTCTTTTATCAAAGGTGAATTAATTTTGAAGATGGGAGATTTTCTCAATGACACCTGTAACGCTGTTTATACACGTGTGAAATGTAAGTTAAAAATAAATGTGAAATAAAGGTGATTCAATGAAGTAGCGGGTTAAATCTGTATGGCAGAAAAAAAAACGGTTGAGTGTGACCCGAAAAGTATGGTAAGATAAGTCACTTTTTTTCTTCAAAAAACCGAGTAGGACACTGTATCCATTCGTGAATGCTTTGACACATCTTGGCGATGCACAATCATCTGTTTTAAAATGGCTAATATGCAACGCAATTTTATGTCATTTTGTGATATCCTTGAATCTGAGTGTTCTAATATTTGAGCTGTGTGTTTTGTTTTATATAGCAGGACGTAGGTGTAAAATACATTGAGCTGTCCACTTTCATATAAAATAATTCAATGTATCGTCTCCAGGTATCTACTTCGTGTAAGATGTCATTTCTTTAATTCAAATAAAGTGGCTTGTGTCAGCGATAACGACTTAAGTTATTGGGCTGGATATTGTCAAGATGTCGGAGGAATATTAAGGACATCCAAAGACTAGACCTTACTAAACTCGTTTACCAAAATTTTTACTAAACTATATGGCACGAATAAAAATGCATGACTTTTAAATCGTACTATTTTAGAAAATCGAATTTAGCCAGATAAGGATTTATATCCCACAGCCTGTATAGTCGACGCCTGCTGTCCGCCTGTTTTAAAACGTTTTCACTTTCTGCAGTCCGTTTTGTGATAAGCTCCGTCGTGGCCAATCAAGCCTCCCTTTCCCCTTATTGCAATTTATAAGAAATGCCCGAACAGAAAATATACTGCTTTGCAAATGCAGTACATTTAAAATAAACGCATCTATATTATATGAGTTTCTGTGCATTGCGCAGCAATTGAACATGAAACCTTTAATGTCTTCTGCCCATTTTATATACAACCTTTTAAATGTCAGTAATTATTCCGGAAAAATAGAAAAAAAAATATACTAACATAACGCTTTGTAGCTAGTAAATCAGAGAAACTGGATTTATTGCTTATATATATATTTAAAAAAAAACAAACAAAAAGAATAACGCCACCGAAAGCAACACCAGCAGCAAAACAAAGGTGCGGGAAATTTAAATACCTTTTTATGGGTTAATACGTTTTAAGACATTTTCTGGAAAAAAATCTAAACGCTAGGCTAAGTAACTGTTAAAACAGTAAATATTAAAGCGTTATCCGCAGCATCATCAGTTTTTTTAACTGGTACTGATTTTGTGCATGTTGTTACATTTATAGGTGTTCATTGACACTGATATTTTGTTCACCCGAGAACAAGGGGAAAATAATTAAAAAAAATAATAATAACATGGCTGCCAAGGGAAAGGGACTTCACAGACAAACCAATATTTACCTAAAATGAAAACAAAACCAAAAAAATGTTTTAAAACACTTTGTATTACTGAAAATCGTTCAATATATGTGTGCTATTTTTTTCAAATAATAAAACGGCAAAATTTATATTACTTTTACAAGTTTTTGTTATCAATTAATTTACTTGCGCTAGAACCGAATAAAATTAATCGTTATTGTCGGGAGAACCTGACATGACTCCGAAAAACTACAGGCTAAGAACTTAATCCGCAATGACTAAACAAGTGTAACTGAAATGGTGACAACCACTGCTTGGATGTGAAATTTAACAATACCCCCCCCCCCTTTTTTTCTGCATTTAAATTCATGAGTAATTCTAAATTATATTTGTGAATGTAAATTACTTATGATTTAAATGTGGCTGAAGAATCTAGATTTTTTTTATGTCTACACACACATATGGGAATTTACTTATCATAAAATACTATGAAAAAAAACCATTAGCAATTTCTAATGTACTTAGAATTTGTATTTGTTATTTGTGGAAGTCACTTCAAAATAGTTAAAAACATATGTAAGATCAGACAGAGCTAAGCAGTAGGTACTTTAATGGAGGCAAAATAATATAATCCACTGTGTAAAAGAAATTAGCAAACAGAAATCAGAATAACAGTTTATTGTCAGGGTAAAAAAAAAAAAAAAACCTGCAAATAATAGTACAACAGGGGAGGATGCAGTGCTGGCTCAGACGGAAATAAGGGCGGTCAGGTCGCCTGTCCACTCCGCCTCAGAGGAGCCGGAACAGCCGCGGGATTCTGCGGGAAGGGAGAGCGGGGCGGATCGCTCCGGTGGCGTGGGGGTGAATCCTGCAGCTGGAGGGCCCTTTATGCGGGGTGCAGCCCGTTAATGAGCCGGCGGTACCGCCGCAGCGTGTGCGAGTTCTGGGTCACCTGGTTCAGTCTGTCAGAGGCGTTCAAGGACACTAAAGACTGAAACAGGAAGTGGGATGAGAGAGAGTTTGATACACACACATCAGCATAATAATAAACACTAATTATATTTGGTTAGTAATACAGACTGATCGCATTTAGCAAAGACTAATACTTTCTGTATTTTTTTTTTCTTTTTTGTATGATCAAATTGATGTTTTTAGGTAAATTTAAAAACTAGATGCTAAACCCTATCACGTTGATGTTTCTTGGGATTTCTTTTTTGTTCTGGGAATTGAAAATGCGATACTTGTTTTTTTGTTTTGCTCTGTCTCAGGGCAGGCCATGGTCAGAGGGAAGTGTGAAGGTCATGTGACCGAGCGAGACAGCGCCTCACCTGCCTCAGCGAGTCCTGCAGGCTGAAGAGGCAGAGGCTGAAGATGGCCGCCTCCTGTACGTCGGCGTGGGGGTCGGAGCAGGCCACGTGCAGGAGCTGGCCGGGCCCGTCACGCCGCAGCAGGGAGGCGGCACCACCTGGCACGCTGGCCAGGTTCCCCAAAGCCGCGCACGAGTGCCGTCGGACCAGGGGGTCCGAGTCCTGCAGGAGGGCCATCATGGTGGGAAGCACCTCCAGGGCCATCTCTGCCCACCCCTGGCAGTCCCGAGACGGACTCCCTCCCTCCGCAAAGCTGCCCCACCCGTCCTCACACCTGTCCCCCGTGACGATCAGACCCAGCCAGGTCCCCACTGCCCGACACACCACCCTCCGGACGGACACGGATGGGTCGTGCAGCTGGTCAATCAGGTCCCGGAAGAGCGGCAGGTGGGGCTGCTCGCCTGCGGGGGTCCGGACCCACAGTGGGTCGAGGTTACCTAGCAGGCTGCAGGCAGCAAGCCGTACCGCCTGGTCTGGGTGGGCCAGGGCCGACCTCAGCAGGGAAGGGTCCAGGTTCAGGAAGGAGAGGGGGGGCCGCGGGGAACAGCGGGCGACCTGGGAGACCAGGGAAAGGAGCTCGGCAGCCGAGCCAGAGAACGTGTCTGACTGGAGAAGATCGGCCAGGAGGGAAGCGGCCGTCCTGCCCTCCTGTGGACGGGCCCTGCCGCCGCCTTCCGAGTCGCGGTCGTCGTGGCGATCCGGCCCCGGAGCGTGGAAGAAGCCGAGGGCCTCTGCGGCGGCTTTGAAGCGCGGCACGGACCGCTGGGGATCACACAGCAGCAGGCGGCACAGCAGGGAGAGAGGAACTTCCAGAAGGGGGAGCGGGAGAGCCGAGCAGAGCTGGGGAGACGCGGGAATGCAGGAGCGCACACACACACACACACACACACACACACACACACACACACCGAGTCAGGGGAAAAAGAGAGAAAAACCATGTCTTATGTGAGGTTAACAATACTTACAAATTAAAAATAAACCATCCCACCTACTCATTTATTAAATTACTCCATAAATAAAAATTACCATAAATAAAAATTGCAGAAAACTGGCTGACCTTCGACTGTAAAACTGACTGAAATTATTAATGGAAAAAAATACCAAATTTTTAACAGCTGAGGGGGAAAACAAACCCGGTGTTCCGGGCCACTATATTTTACTTTGCATCTGATGAATTTAATAGAATCCTGGAATCCAGGACGTACTATTTGCTGGAGATTTGGGGACGGATTTTCTGTTAAGACATTTCTCTCTAGGGCCCCCCTATTCAAATCTGGCCCTCGATTCCAAATCCAGGCCTTGTTTTCAGTTCTCCCAGGTAGTTAGTTAAATAATTACTGATTCTTCACACATGGCTCACAGGCAAAGGAAGGCTGGTAAATAAGCAGCGCTTGGCCCGTGAGGACCGTGATTTGATGCTTCTGAGACCTTGGAGAAAAGGCGGCAGATCACCTGTAGGAGACGTGAGACGACGTCGCAGCTATGGTACGACTGCAGGATCTGCCCCATCGTCTCCTCGGGAACGTCCATAGCCAAAGGGAAGCACAACAAGTGGCAGCTCGTCAAGGGCAGGCTACCGGGGCTGGGGCTAATCTGGGGCCGAGCGGGCCGGCCCTCACCCGCCACACGGCTCAGCCCGCCGCTGCAGAGAATGGCCAGCAGGTGGCCGTGTGAGCACTTGACCCATTTCCATCCTCTTTAATTAGCCGTTCGGTAAACACAATGGCGTCACCAACAAAACAGATGTCTTTGGTAATGCCACATTAAAAGGGGTGGGGGGGTGGGGGCTGACCTCTCAGCTGAAAGCAGATGGGCCAAGGTCTCCACACAGCCTGAATCAGTATCAGAAAATGCAGGTACACAAACTCGGGGCTCCCTGGTGAAGACAAAGAGGACCAAGGAGAGGAATGCGTGCAGCCCTACGACAGGAGAAATGAAGGGATGTTAGAAGGGAATAGAAAGAAAGGAAAAAAAAGACTTCTACTTCAACAAGTTCATTGAAATTGTACTAATGTAATTTTTATACCGCATACCAGTTATGTGAACTCACTTTGATACCACATTACTTATTCAAACCTGCCCACGAGAGTCTTTTCAAAATTGGCCTGGTTTAAAAGCGTGTGAACTCTCTGTCGTGCATATTACACTCTGCAGCGCATTTTAACCTGCGCGGCTTCACAAGAGCGCATCTCAGATACATACCAGCCAGCGACACACACGCCCCATTACCCTCCTCTGACGCAACGGCGATTTTCAGCCACAGATGGCGCCAGAGGCAGGAGCTCGGAAAGGCGGAGGGAGGACAGCTTCCCCGCTGTAGGGAGAGGGACGCCGAGACAGGTAGGTAGTTTTTAAAAATACCTCCGTGTATTAAAATAGAAGAGAGAGAAGCTGAAAGATGCAGGGAGGCAGCAGCTTGCTTTGTGATTATCTTAACTGCAAAGTCCCACGTTAGCGCTGCAGAATGAGGTCAGCAATTTTCCCCCCCGCTATACGGAACGGGTAGCGTGGAACTTCGAGGTTACACGAGTCAGAGGTTTATAAGATACCTGTAAAGGAAATAAGTAATACAAAAAAAAAAAATGTACTTGCTTCAGAGACGGTCTGGAAGAGCAGTACCAAAATGCCATCAAACAAACCCCAGCCTCGGGGCAGAGGGAGGCAGAGCTAGGAAGGAGACAGAGTAAGGGTTACCGGGGCGGACGAGGTGGGCAGATCCTATTCATAAAAATGGAAAAAGAGAGACACACGAGAATGAATCCAAGCAAGTTACAGAGCGCCTGGGTACAGAGGTGAGTGGGAACGGAAACATGGGCAGCAAGGCTCAGTGCTAGAGCACGGCTTTAACGGTCTATAACAATTTAAGAACGGAAGGATCCTGAAAAGCCAGGTAGAGTTTTAATAAGCCTGTGATCCAACTGACAAACACTGTAAGCAGTGAGCAGGGCGTAACCAGCTATTTGCACTCTAAAACATGCCAGATTCAGCCCCACGTACCTCCGCCGGTCCTGAGAGTACACGCTCGGCCGCAGCCATCAGCTCGTCGGGGGAGACCTCCAGGGGCATGCCGCGGTGAGAGAACAGGGCCAGCAGGGCGGCAACCAAAGGCTGACGGACAGGCAGGACTCGTTAAGGCCGGACGGCAGCGTCACCATGGGGAAACAGTTACCCAGACGACCGTGGTTTGGGTCAGCTGACAGTAAGGTGAGCAGGATGAGTAACTCACTGCCAGAGGAGCCATATGGGGGTCCCTCAGAATTGTGACAAAGGCTGGGGTTCGCTCTTCCAGTCTGTTAAAAAAAGACAAGACTCAGATTCTTACTTACAATCCATATTATCACTGGCAACATGCTTGTGCCCTGCGATAGACTGGCATCCGGTCCAGGGTGTACCCCGCCTTGTGCCCTGCCATAGACTGGCATCCGGTCCAGGGTGTACCCCGCCTTGTGCCCTGCCATAGACTGGCATCTGGTCCAGGGTGTACCCCGCCTTGTGCCCTGCACTTACTAGGACAGGCTCACTGCCACCTTGTATCAGATCATGTTTATGGCAACTGGATGGACAGATATATGGACCATTATAATAAAAATGGTAATAAAGAACATCACCACACCTCTTTTCAACAGGTTCCCAGTCAAAGTACTGCTCCCCGTAGACTATCAATGCATATATGATGTCTCCCAGTACTGGCATGCACCATGGCTGCTGGTAGCAAGAAAAAAACGAATGAAAACTTATGTTTATGTGACAGAGATTGTGTTCGGGACACACATAGGTCATAAGTTACATGAACTGAAAAAAGGAATTTTAATTAGTCGTCCTTCAGAGTGCACATCACCGACAATCCTTCATTTTCACCTGTTGACTAACTGGATTTCCCATAATTCCTTCGACCAAATCAAACAGGAAATGAGGTAGATCCCCTTCCTGGGTCAAGCAGCTGGTGACTGCTGAGTCTGCACCCAGGGCCAGCAGGTTACTCAGGACCTTCAGAGGCGGACGGATGCGGCATGCCCCTTCCGACCTTCCTTCCAGTAGCTGAGTGGGAAGTGGGAACCAGAATGGCATGACAGAGGTAACGTTAGCTTTAGCTGTGAGCAAAATTAACGTGAGATCAATATGTCAGTGGACATATTGCACAGCAGGTCTACTTATGTACTTCTCTGCCAAATAAATGTATATGTAAAAATTAAATAAAGGATTAATATACAGGTACATTCATACTGTAGCATTAAGGATACCAGTCACACAGTGCAAGGCATGCTGGAATATGGCCAAGTGTAAATTGCCACAATATTAATTTATAGCTGAAGACCCCCTTTTCTACCTGGAATTTGGATGTTAGTAATCGGCTCCTCAAACGTGGTAAGATGGACTGGTCAAAGGTAGCAGAGGTCATATTCCCTGGATCTGTCGTTTTAACCAGGTCCTGCCATTCTTCATCGCTGTCAATGTCCTGCTTCCAAAAGGAGCAAACAGGTGGACAATGAATGATAACAAGGCTCATTTACTTTATTGAAAATTGTTACATACTGATATCATATATAAGGCTATTATCGGTTTCATGATACAATTATTTTAAAGCAGAACGCTGTTCTGCTGTTCTGCATATGAATGGGAAGCAGATTTAAGTAGAGATGAACATGGTAACAACAACAAAGCAACTGAAATACATTCCAGATGCTGCTAATGCGTGAAATACAACAAGCTTGCTATTCGGATTTGCTGAGAACACAAACCATTCACAAGTACTGGTCAACACATTAGGCGACATAAGCAGCTGAATACAACGCCATCTTATCAGGGGTTGTCGACTTAGCTAGCCAATTTCACTTTATCTCAGCTGGGGAGGGGGATATTTATTCCACAGCAGTTTAAGCTTGTGTTGCATTTTCCTACTTCTTGTGTACATAAAGTTAGCTGGAAAAAGTCAGTAACGATAAAAATTCACTCAGAGAATTTAAATCATTTCAGGAACCTACAGGTTAAAGGCCGTATTGTCGGTCTGAGACTGATATGACCTGTGCAGGCAGTCTTTGGGTATTTTTTGAGTAAAGTTTGCCTAAAAATAAGTGCTTATTAAAGAGTAATGAACACTGGTAGGCTCACAGCACACCCACAGTATACAGTGGATCTGGACTGAAGGTGATTAAAGACAGAGAATCGTTTAGTAGCATGGATTTCACAAACATGCAGGGAATTACATTTACGTTTAACTTATTTTTCAGAGCCGTATTCGGCTGCAAATAAAAATGCCAGGACAATTACCTACAACTGCTAAGTACGTGTTAAGTATTCAGCTGTTTTCAAGTGCAAATGAAGAAAATGCTGGTCTCATGGGTAAAACTGTAATATAAGGCAAATCAGACGCAAGCCTCTAGGTGATTTTTTCAAATGTTTCACATCCATGGCCTAAGGTTGGGAAAATGCTAAACCCTGGCAATTTTAAACTAACAGGATGCCATACTGTGTGCAGGGGCTTCGATACCCTGGCAGATTCCGGGGGCCTGGCACTCACAGGGCCCCTTGAATACATTAAATTATATATAAAATTGGATGAAGGGGCCCAAGGTAAGATTTTGTCAAGGGACCCAGAATTTCTACATACGCCCTCGGACTGTGTGTAGCTTATCGTCTAGCCACTGCGTAAATTTAGCATGTGGAGTAAATTATCTAGTAAATATGTAAATGCTAGTATGTCATAGTATATAAGAACATAAGAACATAAGAACATAAGAAATTTACAAACGAGAGGAGGCCATTCGGCCCATCAAGCTCGTTTGGGGAGAACTTAGCTAATAGCTCAGAGTTGTTAAAATCTTATCTAGCTCTGATTTAAAGGAACCCATGGTTTTAGCTTCCACTACAATAGCAGGAAGACTATTCCATACTCTGACTACACGCTGTGTAAAGAAGTGCTTCCTCAAATTTGTTTTAAAATGTTCTCCCGCTAATTTCCACTTATGGCCACGAGTTCTAGTATTTAGACTAATATTGAAATAGTCATTTGGCTGAACGGCATCCAGACCCGTTAGAATCTTATAGACCTGAATCATATCCCCCCTTAGTCTCCTTTGCTCAAGGCTGAACAGATTCAGTTCCGCTAACCTCTCCTCGTAAGACATTCCTCTAAGACCAGGAATCATTCTCGTAGCTCTTCGTTGCACCTTTTCTAAGGCAGCAATGTCCTTCTTGAGGTATGGTGACCAAACCTGCACACAGTATTCTAGGTGGGGTCTTACCAAGGAATTATATAAGTGTAACATCACCTCCCTTGACTTAAACTCCACACATCTAGAGATATAACCCAACATTCTGTTCGCCTTTTTTATTGCTTCCCCACATTGGCGAGAGTGGGACATGGAAGCATCAACATACATACCGAGATCTTTCTCGTAATCAGCTACCTTTATTTCAGTGGAACCCATAAAATATCTGTACTGTATATTTCTGCTCCCTGCATGGATTACCTTACATTTATCTGTGTTAAATTTTATCTAGTAATGATATTTCACCCCGGATGTATGTGTTTCATGGGTTGGCAATAAAGATCTCTTGAACTCCTTGAAGTTCTTGAAGCCAAAATGAAAAACCACAAAGTGAAAATGAGTCAAGTAATAGGGAATCAGCAAAAAAATAAACAAATACTTGCAGCTGTGATAGGAGTCACTGACCTCACTGAATGGGCGCACAGAGTCAAGGCTGGGGCGACACCCACGGTGGGCCGTAACGACACGCCTGGGCCCGACTTCTATGGACGGAAACTCCTTGGCATAATCCCTGCTGATCTGACCTCCCCTGCATGAACATCAGAGTGCACCAGCATTGGCGGGGAGCATTACAAGAGCGGGGCCTGGAAGCCTCACAGTCAGGAGCTGAGATTCGGTGCATTAGTTCAATTAAACCGGATTTGGCAGGAAGAACATCTACAGCGACAGCATGAGCGACCAGCTGTGGACCTGGAAAAGGTCTGCTCCTCTTATACTCCATCACTGGTTATTCAAATTATGCAATTCCACTGATCTCTTGCACAGCACAACAGTGACACTGTATGGACATGTGTGAAAACTGTAAGCTTACGTTCCATGCCGACCTGCTACTGTCTGGAATGTCTTGGCAACTGATTCAATAAAAAAAGGGAAAAGTGAAATCTAATGTACCTGTCTACCTGTCCTCTAGAGTCTGGGTCTTGTTGGGTTGGTGGTCTTTCCAGTTCCTGGTCCAAACAATGCAAAGTAGCAACAGAGCAATCCTTGGAGGGGACCCTTCCATCTGGGGCTGTCCTCAAAGGTGCCTTATTCGAGCAATTTCCCCTTCCACCTCTTTGATTATGCTCTGCAAAATCCTAAGGAGTAAGTTTCTCAGTGCATAATTCTTGAAAGTTTCAGGAAACTAACATCAATCTTCTAAGTTTATTGAGCAGAAGCATGTACAGACGCTTCTCTACTTATGAACTTTCTACTTACGAACTTTCAGACATACGAACGAAGAGGACTGCAAGTGCAAATTGTGTTCACTGGGCTCCCGTTTCCTGTCCGCAACATCAATTTTTTTTTCTGCGCGCCAGTTCTGCTTAGTATGACTTCTGGCTGCTACTCCCACCTCGCAGCAGTGTAGCGTGTGTACTCCCAGCATCCTAGTTCTTTGTACTTGCGTGTACCCTTAAAATGATGTTGAATAACGACTTTTGAACATTTCAAGTTACGAACGGCCGTTCGAAACGTATCTCGTTCGTAAGTAGAGGAGCGTTTGTATTTACAAAAGGAAATTTGTATTTTTTATTTTTAGAATATACATCAATATGACTTAATCTAAACATACCGTAACGAAATAAATCCCACCCCTACCGTAATGTATCCATTTTCTTTATACACAAAATCCCGTAACATCCAGTGTGACAGCTGTCACAGCAATCAGCCATGTTTGAATTGTACCTCTTTGCCTTTTTTGTCTTTGGCTCTCTGCTCCCTGGCTTTGCGCAGTAGCCGCCCCTCTCCACTGTGTGGCGCTGTCCTCTCCTTCACCTGTTTCATCTTGAGAGCCTGCAGGTCAGGGCTTGGAGTCACCGTCAAGGGGTTGTCAGGGCTGCAGTCGGCGAGTACTGCTCAGGGCAGCCAGCAGGACAGACAACTGTATTACACTGACGACGCCACAGACATCCAGCTGTGTTGTGTTAAAGTGACACGGCACTGCAGGTGTAGGAGCTGACCTGGCATATAAGCTTTAGCATTTTCCCTCATGCTGTTACTGTTTGTTACACCTTTTTTTTACAACTGCTGACATGCATTTCTCAAAACCAAAGTCACTTTTTTCAAAACCCTTCATACAGTTTGCATTACAGACGTGCAGCTTGGTCCTATAGTTAATCTCACCTCTAAAATGCACCATCCATCCATTTTCCGTAACTGCTTGTCCCATGCGGGATGGCAGGGGTCCGGAGTCTATCCCGGAGGTGACAGGCGCAAGGCAGGGAACAACCCAGGATGGGGTGCCAGCATATCACAGAGCGTACGCACACGCGCGCGCGCACGCGCACACGCGCACACACACACACACACACACACACACACACACACACACACACAGGTTTGTAAATCTTTGTGGGGACTCTCCATTCACTTTTATGGGGAAAACTCTAATCCCAACATGACGACCTTAACCCCACCCAGCCCTAACCTTAAGCATAAGTAACCAAACAAAATATGAGGCTTTTGGCATGTTTAGTTTTTTGATTGCATTCACAGAACCTTATGGGGTCCTGAAAAATGGTCCCCACAATGTGACATAAACCTAATTCCCACACACACACACACACACACACATATAACACACACACATACACACACACATACAACACGCACACAAATATAACACGCACGCACAGTATTCCCACACACACACACACACACACACACACACACATATAACACGCACACACAGTATTCACACACACACACACGCACACACATTCACACTTTTGGATAGTTTGCCAACTCCAATTCACCTTGGCATGTTTTTTGACTCTGAGGGGGGAAGCCGGAGAATCCATGCTGACATGGGGAGAGCATGCAAAGTCCACACACATGGCCAGGGTGGGGTCTCCAGGCCTGTTCCCAGAGATATGAGACTACAGTGCTAAGCACTGCACCACTGTGCACCCCCCCCCCCCTATAATCCACTAAAGCCACCAAAACACTTCATACACCCTTACATTGACAAATGAGTGAAACAAAAAAATCTGCTGTGGTCTCAATTTTTTCTGCAGCTGTATATACCATACGCACACACACACAGACATACATGTATGTGTATGTAACACTGCTAATCCACCCTCTTTCCTGGATTCAGCGACAAGTTCTCATCCCTATCATATCTAATGTCATCTGGGATGTGCTAGAAACCATCCAGTGACTGCTGCATAGTGGTGCAATTCCACGATACGCCATACAACAACAAAGACTGGCATCTGTTCTCACTTGGTCTTTCTCTTCTGCTGGCACATGTCTTCCATATAGTTCACTAGGGACTGTGCCCTGTGGACCAGTGACTGGTTCTTGCAATGTCAAGTCAAACCAGCACTGGATGACGCTCCACACATTGTGACGCTAAGCCCTTCCTGGCCTGGCACATCAACTGCTGCTCTTTCTCCTATCGCATTTCTTCCTTTCCTTCTTCTACACATTCATTCTCCTCTCCCTCTCAATCTGCTTCCTCTATAAACTTCGAAAAGAAACCCATCCATCCATCCATCCATCTTCTGTACCTGCTTATCCTATCCCAGAAGGTACGGGTGCTGGGCAGCCAAAGAAAATAATTCCAAGGATGTCACCTTTATTGTAGATGGTAATGAAATTAGACTCACACCTGGGCAAGCGTTCAGCAGAAATGGGAATTAACTGTGTTTCAAAAATTACATTCTAATTTAATTTTGTTATATATATTTTGTTTAGATTTTCAATACATTGCAGTATTGTCACTATAGAAATGTAGTACATAATTCGGTAATTAAGTTCCGAACATATTTTTAACAGTTTTGAAAACAGTCTGTTAGCGTGTGAAAAGTTTTGCTGGTGGTGGAGTCTGAATGAGAAAAGAAATCATGAATATTGGAAGATGTCATCACTGAATGCATTTTGTGTAAAGACAATGACAAATTATCCACAGTTCAGTCCACATGGATTGCTGTTGTGCTGTGTGAAGAGTATTGAAAAAGTGACTGCAACTTTGAGAAATACTTGTTAGCAGTTACATATACACATGAATAATGAGAAACAAAATGTAAACTAAAAAAAGTTTAAGCCTCACCCAAAACTCCATCTGCAACAAATGGGTGTTCTAGAAGGTCTGGCCAAGACAACCTTTTCTGGGGGTCCTTGGTCAACAAGCCTTTTAAGAAACTCTGTTAATGAAATAAGTAGACAGCTTTGGTACTTCATGAATGGGCAGACTATTAAAAATACACAAAACTGTTACTGGAGCAAATGCCCTCAATGCACTGGCAAACCAACAAACCTTAATGACAAAAAGCCATTTGAGACAAACCGTTCGTGTTATGGCAGAAAGAGACGGGCGATTACGAGCCTTAATTACAGGAAACACAGGGCGCAAGACACTCTACATGAGATGTCAATCATGTGTTACAGGCAATTTAGACATACCAATTCACCTAATTGCATGTTTTAGGATTGTGGGAGAACATGCAAACTTCACACACAGACAGGGCGGGGGTGGAACTCAAAATCTAGTTTCTGGCCAACAGTGCTACCCAATGAGCCACCGTGCCAACTTGAGAATACATAGAATATATAAGAATATAATTTCTTTTTGTTGTAATATTAAGTCACACATCTGTCCGTCCCAAGAGCTAGCTTCTGCAGCCGAGGATCGGACCGCCAAGGTCCCCGCCTTCGACCACTGCCCAGCTCACAATGCACCCGACCCCTATGGCCCCTCCTACGGGTGGTGAGCCCATTGGAAGGGGGACCCACGTGCCTTGTTCGGGCTGTGCCCGACCAGGCCCCATGGGTATAGGCCTGGCCACCAGGCGCTCGCCATCGAGCCCCACCCCCAGGCCTGGCTCCAGGGGGGGGCCCCGGTGACCCGCGTCCGGGCAAGGGAAAACGTGGTTCCAATATTTTCTTCGTCTCTCGCTGGGACAGTTCGCAGCCGAGTGTGAAGCGGCTGGGATGAGAATCAGCACCTCCAAATCCGAGACCATGGTCCTCAGCCGGAAAAGGGTAGAATGCTCTCTCCGGGTCGGGGATGGGATCCTTCCGCAAGTGGAGGAGTTTAAGTATCTCGGGGTCTTGTTCACGAGTGGGGGGACGATGGAGCGAGAGGTCGACAGGCGGATCGGTGCGGCGTCCGCAGTGATGCGGGCGCTGCATCAGTCTGTCATGGTGAAGAAGGAGCTGAGCCAAAAGGCGAAGCTCTCGATTTACCAGTCGATCTACGCTCCTACCCTCACCTATGGTCACGAGCTATGGGTAGTGACCGAAAGAACGAGATCGCGAGTGCAAGCGGCCGAAATGAGTTTCCTCCGCAGGGTGGCTGGGCTCTCCCTTAGAGATAGGGTGAGGAGCTCGGTCATTCGGGAGGGACTCAGAGTAGAGCCGCTGCTCCTCCGCATTGAGAGGAGTCAGATGAGGTGGCTCGGGCATCTGATTAGGATGCCTCCTGGACGCCTCCCTGGTGAGGTATTCCGGGCATGTCCCACTGGGAGGAGGCCCCGGGGAAGACCCAGGACACGCTGGAGGGACTATGTCTCTCGGCTGGCCTGGGAACGCCTCGGGATTCCCCCAGAGGAGCTGGATGAAGTGGCCGGGGAGAGGGAAGTCTGGGATTCCCTGCTGAGACTGCTGCCCCCGCGACCCGACCTCGGATAAGCGGGAGAAAATGGATGGATGGATGGACATCTGTCCGTCCATAACCGCTTATCCTATTCAGGGTCACAGGGGGACCGGATCCTATCCCAGAGGCTACAGGCACAAGGCAGGGAACAACCCAGGATGGGGCACCAACCCATCGCAGGGCACACTCATACTCACACACCATTCACTCACACCCACACACCTATGGGCAATTTCATAACTCCAATTAGCCTCAGCATAGTTTTCGACTGGGGGGGGGGGGTATGGGGCGAAGTATGTGGAGGAAACCCCACGATGATACGGGGAGAACATGCAAACTCCACACACATGGAGCCATGGGGGAGACCCTGGTCCCAGAGGTGACACCTCCTTTAAGTCACACACATATATTTAATTACTATAAACTACTGCAATCAAATCCAGAGCTGTAAAGTTCAGGTCCAGACAGTACAAATCCAACCCAAAGTTTTGTTTCAACCAACCATGTGAGTACTTTGAGAATGTGACTCTTTATACTCAACTGGTTGGTTGAAACTAAATCTTGGTATGGATTTGTACTTCCGGAATCTGAACTTCACACCTCTGATCAGGACCTTCTTTATGTTTGAGAGCCTTGATGAGTATTTACTGCTTATCACTTATCATCTGCAGGCTCTATTATTTATCATCCGCATGCTGAGACAGACTCACCTCCTTTATTGGCATTACACAGTTCAACTGCATTTTGTATAATGAATGTATAATGAGAAAATTGTGTGATTAAAATTGGATGGCAACATGATTAAGGTTTTGGTTACAAAGACTTTGTGACATTACAGTTAACCCACTAGGATATGTTCACACATGCGAGATGGTAATAGGATTGTCACTTTATGTTCCAGACGTGTGTAGATGCACTGTACCATGCAGTCTGGGCTCATGCTTTCGGGCCACTTGACTGGGTCTCGGATGATTAGCTGCACCAGCTGGAAGATGGAGTTTGTGTAGAAAGGCGGCGCACCCGTGTGGAGCTCGTACAGAATGCAGCCGAGCGACCACAGGTCGGCCGTGTGGTCGTAGGGCTTCTCCTCCACCAGCTCTGGAGACATGTAGAGGGGCGTGCCTTTGATGGAGGTCAGCACCAGGGTGGACATGCTCATTGCACGGGCAAAACTACGAAGGCAAGGTGAGCACATGTTAGAACGGTACACAAAACACCACACAACATGATGATCACCCAGTAAGTCAGGCAACGTCTCTCATGAACTTTGGGCTACATAAATAATAATACACACCCAATTTGGAATTTCAAAAGGCTCCCCGGAAAGTTTGTGCGCTAACTACATCAAAAATGGAAACACTTAATGTTCACATGCAGACAAAAGCTAAACGGCAGTTACAATGATCTTCTTGAAGAGGAAAAACACAGTTAAAGCCCACTAGAGGAGGTGGGACCAAGACATCTGATTGGTTGGTCCCACCTTCCTTAGTTGCTTGGACCCACCAATGTGATTGGTTCTCTCTCTGAACCAATTATTTTTTGTTCTGTCCTAAGAACAGTTTTTGTTTAAGTAAAACTCCCATGAGCACAGTTCAATGCCATGTAAACCAGGTGCCATCATGTGCCGAATGCCAGCATTCCCTCATCATCCTCACAAGCGCAAACATACACACACCCAAAATCGCAGAGCTTGACCCGGCCTCCTTTTCCCAGAAGGATATTCTGCGGTTTCATGTCTCGATGAAGTATCCGATGAGAATGCAGATAGTACAAAGCCGAGACCAGCTGGCAAGCAATGACTCGAACCTGAAAGAAATAAATCAAATTGTCATTTATCCACTTTACTTTCACAAGCCAAAAGTAACAAGTTTATTAACAAGACTGATTATTAGACAATGTTTAACCAACTGCCTTAAGACCTTATTAGGGTAAATGTTTACATCTTTCGGTTTCACCAGTAATAGGATAATAAACTGTATCAGTTCCACTTTAAAAGATTACTTTAAATCACTACAATGACTTCTGACCTCCATTTTTCTGTTCTCCACCCTAAGTCCAATGTTAGTGATTACATCCGATAAACAGAACAGGGGAAATTTAATATCTTAGTAATTTCTAAAGTTCACTCTTTTAAGGCTGAGTAACGGGGAGTGCAGGGACGTCACAGCCTACCTGGCTCTCTGGCAAACTTCCATCGTCCTCCAAAATTTGGAACATCTCCCCCTCTGCGTGCTCTGTGACCACGACGACCTGTCATGGATGCACTCAGTAAGGCTTTGAGTGGCATACATGTTATCATAGTCAAAAATGTTACGTCTGCTTGGATCTTTTTGCAAATAAAATACAACGTTAAACCAGGAAAAGCACGAAATGACCTACATCAATCACAGGCCTTGCTGGATAAAATAAGGTATCTAGCAGAAATGCAGAGGATATTTACATTTAATTTATTTGGCAGATGCTTTTGTCCAAAGTAACATATGGGGCAGTGGTGGCTTAATGGTTAGGGACGCGCACTTGTAATTGAAAGGTTGCAGATTCGAATCCCCGACCAGCAAGGCACCACTGAGGTACCCTGAGCAAGGTACCGCCCCCAAGCACTGCTCCCCGGGCGCTGAATTAGCTGCTCCCTGCCATGTCATATTGTCACATATGGGTTAAATGCAGAGAACACATTTCGTTGTTGTGCGCCGTGGGGTGTCAACAATAATCTCTGGATTCTAATTTTTTAGGAGAAGGCAGGGAACTTTCTCAAGGGTCCAACAGTGAAACCACTTCACCAGCCCTGGGATTTGAACTGGCAACATTTTAAACACAAGCAAAGGATCCTGACCCACTGAGCCACACACCAATCCCAATTCTGGCACTCGGAGTATGTCGGCCTCGACTCCCCCCTTACCTCCCGCTCTGTCTCAAAGCTGTCGAGTAGCAGGATCACATTCGGGTGCCTCAGGTCCCGCATGATGTCAATCTCTCTTTTCAGACTGCGCAGCTCCTTCTCAGACCGGCCCACCTTAGGAATGAACTTCAGCGCTACAACCTTAACATAAAAATTATACAGTAGGTTTCTTAAAATGATATATTTATAATTAGACATTAAGCATTTTTAAATGTTTTAGTGTAGAATCATTAATGAAACATCCATTTAATAAAACACAAAGTTTATTTTCACCTCGAACATGACCCATATAGTTACATTTGTTTGTTTATTTGTTTGTTTATTTGGCAAAAGCTCTCACCAAAGTTACACACGACTGTGAAAGCAGGGTCAACCGGTCCCTGAAGTAACCAGGGATAAAGGGTTGAACTCAGGGACCCAACACTGGGATTGCTGCTGACCACAGGATTTGAGCCGCTGACCAATAATGTGGGACAGAATTTGATATTGGGGGGGAAACACCTTAATTATTTAAATACAAAGGTCCTTTTATTGGAGGGATGAATTAAGCAAAAATAATAATATTAATAATAAATATTACTGGGTACCGGTTCCTATAGACCTGCCGATTATTATCTGGTCATGGATACAGTCCTAACTCACAGAGCCACTCACTTCTGAAGTAACACACTTCTTAATTTAAGCAAGTAATAATACAGCCATCTATAACCACTTATCCGGGACGGGGTGTCCATCGCCAGACAGATACGCAATTAATAAATTCGGGAAATTAAGATATACCAATTACTGCATATCTATCCACTGATAATACATAAAATAACAACAAATAATGCATAAAAATACTTACTTGCCCGCTGAACTTTTTTCGTCCTTTGTAGACACGCCCAAAAGAGCCCTCCCCTATCATTTCCAGTACATGGTACGACTCCATAGTTTTAATAAAGAATCTTTAGATTTCCTCTTTTTTCTGTTCTTCAACTCAAGACTGACGGTAATTCTCTATAAACCGAATTCAAATCATCACCCACTATTATTACTGCTCCGCTTTATTCACTCGGACATCTAACATCATCAACAAGTTAAATACTAAAAAGCTACATGAGATTAAACATTTTTCCTGGAGCGTTATCAATGACTCCTTGTTTTTACATGCTAAATGGCAAGTAACTGCCTAGTTAGGCTTACTGTAAACGCGATATCTGTCAAGTGCTCCAGGACATTGTGTTGCTGAAAAGATACAACACTGAGAGGAAAAATTAGATTTAAATTTAAAACAACAAAGCGTTCGAAAGTCGTTAATTAACCATCATACCACTTTTTAAATTAGTTGCACAATTAGCTCTAACTAATACAGTCCGTGTAAGTATAGCTAAATAGTTCGCAACTGTTTTTGAATAACCGTAAACAAATGGAACCTAGCAACTGAACTACTGAGAAGAAGCCTTTTCAGAATTTAAACACAGTAGAGCATAAGCTACTAATTTCTTAAATAAGTATAAATAAAACTTAACATATACAAGTTTTTAATGTTCTAAATGGCATGCATTTACTTAATATGATTAGATTATGAGTTATTGTTAAATAAAATTATTCAGGCAATATATACGACAGCTACAGTCAACGCATTTCCTTGAAGGACCCTAACATAGCAACTAACTAGGCGTCCTAGCAACACTAGTATTCCTTATACCTTTTATTGCTGTAATGCATTAAATACCAGGAATAGTTATTTCTGATAGTCCAACGAGTGTTCCTGTAATTCGTCGTTTATTTGTTTTTGGACGTCATCAAAGTATTTAATTTGTGAAATACGAGATTTTTTTCAGTTTATTTTGAACTGCATTTACAGTCCCCTAAAACGATCAATGGGAAAGGTGTAGGATAGTGAGAAATCCACATATCTTGCAGGCAGTGAAGCTGTTCTTCCAAGTATTTCTTCTGTTCAACAGCAACCTCCGTGAGATGCAGGATAACTACAGCAAAAAAGCACTATTTCATGTATTACGTACATCAATTCAATATTACGCTGTGAAGTTTGTCATCGGTGTTTCTCTGAAAGCACTCACTCTTCCAGATTCCCTCCTAAGCGTGCTATTCCAGTTATTCATCAACTGTCTATTCATGTCAAAAACTTAAAACATAATTGTTATGATATGTTGTTAGGACCAAATAGTTGCAGAGTACGTTGCATTAAAGACAACGGTTTAATGCTTAAAACAAAAATAGTAATGAAGAAGTAGCAGGGCCTCAATGGGAGTAATAAAGATACATACAGGTGCCTTCTGTACCTAGAACTGACCTAAAGCCAGTGACATAAAGTCCAGGCTTCCTCGTCGTATGTTACAAAACTTACTCAGTCCTCATGTAATCCAGTTTGCCAGAACTCACAGAAATGCTACTTACTTTTGAACTGGACTGAGTATGCTTTGGAAATCTGCTCTTCAGTTACGAATGGAAGCAGGAGAAGAACTCAACTTCAAACCCCTAAGATATACTTACACTGTATCGCCAGCGGTATGGATCTGTATAGCGGAGCCCAGTAAATGCGCCGAGCATGCATACTGGGAATATTGTAAATAGCCCACTGTCTGTGTAATTGTAAATGCCTGATGTATTCCCTATTGTCGTGCGTGCCGTTGCCTGTGTCATATGTGAACCGTGTCCGGTTAGGCGTTTCTTTAGCCGTTGTATAAATTACTCACCTCTTTGTGTTCCCTCGTTGCATGTACTTGGTACAGTAGGTGCGGTGTACCTGTGTCATTCCGTGTAAGTTTATAATAAAAATCATGTTAATCGTATTGAGTTTCTTTTTCGTTTCTTTCCAACGCCCTTCGGTTATCTCAGTTTGCCAGATATTATTACACATTATTGTGCATAAGTCTTAGGTGGGTTAAGAAAATGTTTAAAGCTATTTATCTGGGCAGTAAGATAAATATCAATTTAACAGTAAAACATACAAATTAACAGTAGCATAATAAAAACCAACTGGAATTTCTTCTATTCTCCAAAATCTTGTTGGATGTCTAGAAGAACAATGCTTCAGTTCCCAAGCTTCTCTCTTCTAGGGCCCTCAGCAAATCTTTCACCACCAGCCAAATTTATTAATTAATTAGGTTAGTTAAATAACTCAGTGGGATTTTGATTAGCCAAACAGGGGTACATTTCCCAAAAGCACAGTTGCTAACAATGTTAGCAATTACATAGTTGGAATCATCCAATTCAACTGTTCCAGCTATGTAAGTTGTAAATGAGAACTTCTGGGAAATGTCCCCCATGGTAATCAAGTAGAAGAGTCAAAAATACAATGGTGTATTGGATGGTTGCTTCAAATACTGGGGAGATTTTAGGAGGGGTACTGGAATGGCTAAGGTGTCTGTTACTTCAGCTGACATTATATCATAGTTTTTCAACTAAATGAAGTTCATTTAATATGATTTTCTTTAACTACGATTTGTACACAGTACTGTATATTTTACAGCAGGGCTCTTCAAATCTGGCCCTTGATTCCAAATCCAGGCCTTGTTTTCAGTTCTCCCGGGTAGTTACTTTAATAATTACTCATTCTGATTGGCCACAGAGACTTCACATCTGGCTCACAGGTAAATCTCTCGATTTACCGGTTGATTTATGTTCCTACTCTGACCTATGGTCATGAGCTTTGGGTAGTGACCAAAAGAATGAGATTGTGGATACAAGCGGCAGAAATGAATTTCCTCTGCAGGGTGTCTGGGCTCTGCCTTAGAGGTAAGGTGAGGAGCTCGGACATTAAGGAGGGACTCAAAGTAGAGCCGCTGCTCCTCCAAATCGAAAGGAGCCAGCTGAGGTGGTTTGGGCATCTATCTAGGCTGCCTCCAGGACACCTCCCTGGGGAGGTGTTTCAGGCATGTCCAGCTAGGAGGAGACCCCAGGGCTGACCCAGGTCACGCTGGAGAGATTATATATCTCAGCTGGTCTGGGAACGCCTTGGTATTTCCTGGTGGAGCTGGAGGAGGTGGCTAGGGAGAGGGAGGTCTGGGCATCCCTGCTTAGACTGCTGCCCCTGCGACCTGATCCTGGATAAGCGGCAGAAAACGGATGGATGGATGGATGGATGGATAATTGCCATTATAGCCAAACCCTGCTGGACAACTGCCAGGTCAATGGGACTAAATGTGGAGTATGATTAAAATATGAAAAACAAATTAATGACACTCAAATGGAATTGATAAATCCATCATTATTTAATTTGTCATAGTTACTACACATAGCTATTCTAAGGACTTCAAACACCAGAATTTATTTCAAATAGCAAAATATACAATCTAATTAAACATTTTTAAAAGGACACAGCATTGTTAGGCAAAGAATAAAATAACAGGAAATGACTAACAATTCTTTTAATACTTTATATGTAGAGATTCTATATATGTATATTTGTTGGCCTGATACTATTTATATTCTAAGGGTCATGCATCTATTTCACATTCAGCTACAATAACAGTTAATAGCCTCCTGCACTCAGTGAAACCAACTATATTTGTTGTACTTACGATGGTCACATTGCCCTAGTTTTAAGATTTTATTAGTTTTCACATTCATTTTTATTGTACAGTTTACAGACTTTACCAAAGAAGTATTTAAATTTGCTACCTTAGAATAACAATCAGCTTAAGTTTCACGGAAACCAGTACATGTGCAGCCACTTAGCTGGTGAAACACAAGGTTGTGTTACGACACGCAACCCTGGCTGTGCTCTAGACCTGAACCAAACCTTCAGGGAGATCTAACAGATAAACGAAAATCACGGGGTATCATCGAGCTGTCATTCCTGGAGATTTGCATGTTAGTTATATCGGCCCAGCACCTGCATCTAAATGACAGCTATCGAGATTAATGCTTAGTCACTCATAAGTGGGATATATTACAAAACAAACAGAAACTGTATCCATACTGATAAATGACTGTCATTTTACATCTTGACCTCAGCTTGTCTCAAGCTGGTGGATGCTCTTCAAGTATTGACTAATTAGTAGTCTATTTACAGAGAAAAGACACAACATCGAAGGGGTGTGCGATTTGACGATGTTACATTGTGAACGATTATAAAATCTCTTCACGGTCTGCCTTTATGGATGGATCGTTAGTATCATGTTACAATGCATATTCCAGCAGTTGCAGCTGCATGGTTCATGCAACTCTTTAGCTGATCTGTCAGCCAAATTCTTTTCAACACACCAATAAACCGATAACAGAAATTCGCGCCCTAATCCCGACATGCAATGCGCAACACAGTCCCTGTTTGGCAACATAACTGCGTGGGTGCCGAGAAGGTCTGGTTCCTGAAAAAGATTTTGATATCGGTCATATGTAAGTCGTGTATATTTCCGAAAACCAATGGGTATTTGCAAAATTTGCAAAGATGAAATTTGCACGTCGAATAGCAATACGACGAACCATTTTTAGCCACCTCAAAAGAAAACACCCGGAAGCAGGGCTACTAATTTTGCTCAGCTGGCTGGAGTGAGATTTTCAGTTCGAGACTATTCTGTACACGCATTTATATGTATGTGATAGTTTAATTACCTTACCCCAACCCTTTTGATGTATTACCTATTTTATGTTTATAATGGAGTAATATGAATTTGCCGTAAGATTTCTTGAATGACCCAGATAGCCCCATGCCATTGTTTCAACATTGAATTATAGTTAAATGAGTTGAATTATGGTCAGTGTTAAATTATCAACGTTGAAACTGAATTAATTTTGGTCAGATTTTCAATATTGAAAAATTGATGGTGGCAAAAGCTTGATTCAATGTTGATATAAAATGAAAGATTGAAGATCAACGTTGTTTCAACCTTTTTGTCTGATCTGGAATCATTGTTATTTCAGCATATGTGTGCTATCTGGGGAGCGTGAGATGGGGCACAAATCCTTAGTAATAACTCAGTTACTGGTGAAGTGCAAGTTATGAACAAAAGCGTGAAAAAGTACAGTTTACTTGAGATAAAAGATGCGTCACGATTCCTTAATGATGAACAAAAATGAGCTAGATCAGTATTTAACTTGTGTTATTCATGACTTGTTCCCTCAACAGTTCCTTAGTAGTTCCTTCAGTAGTTCAGTTTTACAGAATTAACAGATATAGTAACAAATATAGCAACTGCTTGATAAAACATGCGTCATGATTAACTGATGAATTAATTAATGATTAATTCATGATGAATGAGATCTGTATGTAACCAAGTCTTAGCTTGTGGTTAATTAATAGCATAATACTATATTAGTTGTGCCACATCAAATAACCAGACCAACATGAAAAAGAACTGCTGGTGAGATCGTGATCCTGGCATTAAAAAAATCATGATTTGATATTTTTGACATATTGCTCACCCCTGCAACATTTCCGTAATATTTCATAATCTTGTTGGTTTCTGAGTTTACCACATAGACAAGGTGTTTCCATAGACAGGGCTGGCCCACCCTACTTGCACCTTGTGACCTTGACCTACATTTTGAACTGCACTCCTGGCCACATCATTATAGATGTTCAGATTCCCCTCGCCGTCGATGACTTTGTTTCTGCAGGTCTGCAAAGCAGAATGCAGGATCAGGACCTGCTTTGAACCTTTGACTTTTGCCTTCACTAAACACTGGATGTGTGAAATGCAGAGGCCTTTGAGCTGTATGAGGCCAACAATCCATTTGGGTTCAGTGTAACATGCTGCATGGAAATGTGTCGTCTAAAGATGCACAAGTTCTGTATCTGGGTGCCTCTCTGGTAGGTGGTTCTGAGCCTGTTAGGCCCCAATGTGCATGAAGGTCTTTCAATGAGAGCTTAAAGGCTTAGTGGTGCCCGAGGCATTGCCAGAAACATTTCTATAAAACTAAATTTCATAATGACATTACCACAGACAGTAATTCTGGCAACATATTGATAAATTAAAGCAGGAAAAAAAAAACCTCCAAGTTATTTGAGGACTATTTGCATGCAGTGTTCATGAGAGTCTGGGTGAAAAACCACCCGCTGGTGCTGAATTTGCATATTTGCATCGCAGGATGATATGGGAGTAGGGGCAGAGATAAACGGAAGCTAAGGAGAGAGCTAGCTATGCTCACCTGCGTGTGATGCAGCTCCTCCATCTGCAGCAGGCACTTCATGGTCTCCTTGAGGTGCTCCTTCTGCAGTGTGAGAACCTCTACCCGCCTGATGTCCGTGCAGAACTCCAGCTCCCAGTCCACCACATGCAAGGCCTCCACTGCACAATGGAGGGCACTGTTCCCTGAACCAGGAGGAAGCACGGGTAGACAAATGAAAATCTTTAGGTGTATTAATTTTCTCCCACTGAGCACCAAGCCAATTTAAAGAATTAAAGACTTTATATGAGAACATCTGAAAGAGAGGGATTAAAACCCTTCCATACCGTTCATGTCCTTTGCTTTCACGTTGATGTGAACACCACTATTCATGAAATTTCTCAGAACCTGAAATGAATATCACCTTTTGTATTTTACACTTTTACATAACAGGCGAATTATCCTGTATTAAAAGCCAAATTCGCACATGCAGGCCCCGTTAATCTTTCATGCATAATGTGATTTTCGGCACACGACTTCTTTTCTTTTGCCTTTTTCGTAATTATGAAGATTATATACTTGGAGGCATTTCCAAAATTACTCTATGTCCAGAAGAAAACAATTAGAAAAATTGTGGTATTAGGCAGCCCTTTGTCCTCCATGGTGATAATATATCAGATGAAATTGTGCCAAGGCTATCGCTCATTCACACAGGATATGCAGATGAGAACGTATTCTGCAATCTTCCCACCCGTCTGCTTCTTTGAGTGGAGATCGTATGGTGCTACCTCCAAGGTTCTGAAGTTCCCCTTCTCGGCGCTTAGGTGAAGACATGTCCTCCCGAGTCCGTCTCTCACATTAACGTCAGCACCAAGGAGAATCAGATCGCTGAGCAACAAGTGCTGGTTCCTCTGCGCGGCCAAATGCAAGGCCGTCTGCGGTGGCGGGCAGGGTGTACTGTTATTCAGGTTCCATGGTGGTGAATGAGGGTCCTCCTGTGTCTGGCATAATCCATAAATCATTCATTCAAACCACACACAAGACATTACTATTTACTTATATTAATTTTAAAAATAAGGTAACGGTTTACATTAACTGCATCTTCAAAATGCCTTTCTAACGCTTTTGTACAACATTCAGTGCACCTTCATAATGCATTCATAGAACATTCATTCAGCATGTAAGTATACCATAGCATCCTAACATACCTAACTTATATGCATACATAATCTTATAGTGTTATATTAGTGTGAATTAGGGATGAAATGGTTATCAGTTTCACGGTAAAATTCCAGATGGTTATTATTACTGTTTCAAATTTTAGTTATCATTAAAACTGTAGCTGATTACCTCGCTTTGAAACTAAGGTATTTAACTAAGGTTAAATACTGTCCAGCATCAACCAAAGTTAGCAACAGTCTCCCAGACACAGGTGTGGAGGTACAGTATGCAGTGGAGATTTGTTTTGTGTCAGTGAAACATGGAAGGCAGTTACAGCGCTTCGGAGATGTTTTATGTTAATGTAATTTGATATGGTTTTTTATATGTTTACGTAAGCTATTGGCTATGTCATTATTTTAATGTTTAAGAAAACAAAAAGTGCATAGTGCCTCTAATTTTATTTGTGGTTTTCAATAAAAAAAATATTTCAGACTGTATACATTTTCAGTAAATTAAAAAATAAAAAGCTAGATGATGGATAGGTTAAGTTTGTATTGTGTCTGTATTTATAATGTACCCTGTGACGCTTTGGTAGATATTCAGCTTGATGTTGTGTCAAACGGAACATGCTGTATGCGCACTATGCCGATGTGGAAGGAGTGTGTGGTTTGTACCTGTCCTCTAGCATCTTTGACATCCAGCCAGTTCACTGATGCTATTTGTTGGCCAATTGAAGAAGCCAAACATCTTCGTCTTTGACTTACTACATTGTGAAGAAGTCTGAGAAGAAAACAAAAAACACTAATTTGATCTGATAAAATGACTCGATTTAAAGAAACTTTTAGCAATTATATTGTAGCGGGAGTGGAGCCAAGCAACTAGAGAAGGCGGTACCAACCAATCAGATGTCTTGGTCGCGCCTCCTCTATTAAAACTCTCATGAGTGTATTTTTTATGTTCATCTTGCCAAAGTCTTACAGTCAAGAATCATTGGTGTTTATTTTGGCTTCTGTCAGTAGAACAGCCTGGGCTGCTTATTTGGTCGGTGATGTAACCTCATGTCAAGTCATATGGTTCAGATAGCTGCCAAAGGTCTCAAGTTGTTCTCCTTGCTTTGAGATTTTGGGGTTCTACAGCCTCGATTCAGCTTGGTCTGAGCCACTTACAAAGGGGGTTTATCACCCCTTACATCAGTGTTTCCTAACCCAGTCCTTGGGAACCCACAGACGGTCCATGATTTTGCTCCCTCCCACTGCCTTACATTAATGTCCACCAGATACCAGTTTGGAGCTGCCTTTTGGGACATCACAGCAGTGCTGCATTGCCTGGAATTGTGTTTGACGTCTCTGTGCTAAGGCTCTGTAGTAATGCAAAAATGTGCATTGAGTTCACCTGTTAGGAATTATTTTTTATTTTACACAATTATGAATTAAGATGGCAATTTTTGTGGTTATATAGGAACACCTGGGTAAATTGTATAATTTCAAAACTGGTAGTTCCCATTTATAAATATTTTCTTGTGAAAGGCTACGTATTTATTTTGTCTGCAAACATTCTCTTGCTGTCAGTGATCTGTGACTGAAGCTCACTCCTTGTTGGGCTTACTGTGTATTTTGGATCCAAATGGATAATAGATACTGAAACACTGAACTTTCATGGAACAAGAACAACCAGCCCGATTTCCCATGATACGTAGTACGAATGCCTGGCCAACTAAACAAGAAAGAACCACATCATTGTTGACCTGCCTGGTTAACACGCTGTACCTGTTAGTTGACTGATGGCTATTATTCCTAGACGGTGGATTATTTACTAGTTACAACACAGCTGGTCTTTAACAGGCTTGACTTGTCTTTTGAGGGTCATGTGTATCTGTCACTTACATCCCACCTCCCTTCTGAAACTCTGGAAGCTCCAGATCAGAAACACTCCTCAGTAGGTTCTCTTCCCTTGGGGGCTGCAACTGGAAAAAAGGTTGAGTTTCCCATGACCACTGGGTGGCAGCATATCCATGGGGGTCCCTTGCTTGGTCTTGGAGGCTGTCCCAATAGCACGGGCTGGAGTTGCTCTGGATTACAAACTCTTGAGATGAGTGCCCTTTGTATTCAGTGTCATTGTGGGTGAAAATGACCATGTGATGGGGAGACAAGTCTTCTGCCTCATCCCCGGAGCTTCCTGGATGTCCACCAGGGGAGGGAAGAGGGGTCTGACTGCTGGAGGTGAATGTGGTTTGCATTTCTCTGTCAGAAAAAAGACACAGAGTCAAAAAAACCTTTCTCTGAAGCACAGGCCCTGATCCTGGAACAATGCTCTTTAGCAAACAAGAAGGAAGTGTCTCTCCCAGCTGTTGTCCAATGCTGTGAGGAAAGTATGGAGATGGAAAGAACTCCCCGATACACCTGCATAGTTTATTGGCTTTAAGGTCCTCCTCTAGAACCTCAACAATGATGGCCAAGTCCTCCAAAGCCTCTGAAGGAAGTTGATTCTGCAAAGTAATCGTCAAATGTTTCACTGGCAAATTTATTACTATGTTAATAGACTATGCTAATACAGATAACATAGAATAAACAATCTGTTACATGCATGGATTGGTTTTGCACAAATCCGTGTAGCCTTACAATTGGAAAATGTGTGTGTGGTTCTTACCTGCCTCTTTTTTCGGGTACCTGAGGTAGTCACTCGTTTCCTCTCTCCTGTCACAAAAGCAGTATTAGTAATAAGGAGTATTAAGTACCATATGACTTCCTGTGAGGTTGTGCATTTTACCTGAGGTGTTTTATTCCGTACCTGGATATCTCTGCAGGGAAACAAAGCTCAAACTTACGATCTTAACTGAACAATGGTGGGGTGGGTGGCACATAGGACCTGAAAAAGAACCTTGATAAAGAGGTTTGTACCTGTATTTCACTGGGGTCAAAACCTTTGGACAGACGCAGTTTTCTAAGCAGGTCCCTTACTGGCATTCGGACTTGCACCCCAAGGTAACCAGTAGCAGAAGTCCCATCTAGTCGCTTAGATCCTTTGTTCCCAAAAGGAGAAAAAGAGAGTCATTTCAGGCAACCGGAGTGCAGCCTGCCTTAGAGGCTTTGAACAACAATTCATTAACACCCACCACAACATGCATATTTGCTGCCCAAATAATGACTTCAATCCAAAAGCTAGAACAGGATGAAAAGAAGCTTGTTCTTCTGAGTTCAAGGACATGGATTATCCATCTTATTTTAGAGGCTTTCACCAAACTGAAATAATAGTTATACAGTGCTACAAAGCATTATTAGTACTTATACGTATTTCAAACAAATTCTCCATGACAAACTTTTTTATTTAGCCTTCAGGAACTGCAATCAGGTGCCAGCATGACCTACTAGAAGGTCTGCCCTGGTAAGTATCCATCAATTGCCATTAGCCACTTATCATGCTAGTGCACATTAGTGCCTGATTCACTTCCCCAGTCTCTTGCAATGTCCTCACCTACATGTGCAAAGGGCAGTTCTGAGCCCTCAGTTTACACAAATTGTATTCTTTTTTTCTACGGCAGGATTACCACAGACAAAACCAACATGCCACCAGTAGGAAAAGTTTAAATTTTCCCTGCTGGTATTTATTCTAAACGGTTTAACCAGTATTTTTTTCTGTTCGGCTTCAGTTTACGTGATGACAATATTCATTATGATTCATACCTCTGTCCGTTTTTGGCCTCAGCTGGGTCGGGGTGTCTTTCATGATCACTGGCTTGTTCCCAGTGGAATCCAGTAACTTGGTTTCCCTCGTACTGGTGGAGCGTCCCTCTGTGTCACTGCAGCAGTGCGTAGATGTGTGGCTAGAAGCTCGAGGGCGGTGCTGCTTCTGAGGTGTCAGCTTTTTACACATTTATCCACTGTCAGTCAGAACCTGGAGGTGCCAAGTCTCAGCAATAGAAGAGGCTTATTATTTTAGGAGGGTGTGGACAAATATCCTTGGAAGGGAAAGAAAATAAACACCACGCCCCTTTTGTACAAGTTTTTAACTTGCCTCGGTATGTTTTGCAATACCGCATAATTACTATACAATTTATAACACATAAAAGTGGATGACAGAACAACAGTCCTTGGAAGATATCCCAATTATTCCATTCGGTGGCAATAATTAATTAGCTGACAAGTGTTTGAATGGAAATGTCAGCTCAGTGGGACATCATTCACTACTATCTAACCGTGATCTGTAATCACAAACACACTTCCCATCCTCGCAAACATTCAGCCAGTCCTACAAAATCACGGCGTGTGCTGCATTGACAAGTTAGTTCGTTTATAGATGGGCGGATTAAGGCACAGGCTGACCTAGGCTGTAGCCTGAGGTCCGAGCGACATCAGCGGCCCGCTTTGTCTTGGGAAGTGTATTACACCTGGCTGATTGATCCGCCGGTGTGATAATTCCCCAACCCATCTGCAAATCTTTATCAACAGCCCCCCCCCCTCTTAATTTCCATTGCTGGCACCCTGTGTGCCGATTAGTGGATTATTGATGTTGCATTGTTTTAAATTATCTTTCAGCCCCAAAATAGCTCAAGTCATCTTAGTATTGCCCCCCCAGAGAAATTAATTAGCCCACACTTACAAAGGTGTCATTTCAGTGCTTACACCACCTATACGAATAGTATTATATGTCAATGTACACAGATCAGCCACAACAGCTAAAACCACTGACTAGTTAAGTAAATAACATTGATTATCTGATTACAATGGTCCCTCTCAAGGTGATCAGACAGAAAAAAAATGTAGCATATAAATGGAGAATATAAAGAGAATTTAATTATTACACTATCACCCTATTTGCTAACAAACTTACTAGTGTGATACTAGCATGTTTCATTATATGCATATTATATTCATAAAGAGATTAAATAACTGCGTACCTTTATCTTTTGCACGTTTCTCCTGGCACACTGCAAAAATTGTTCAAGAATGGTTCGGATCCAAGGAGGCTTCACCTTGCAACTTATAGAACGTAAAGAACTGGCTGCTTAACACCTTGGTGCCAGATACCACAGGACACCTTCAGAGGTCTTGTGGAGTCCATGCCTTGTTGAGTCAGAGCTGTTTTGGCAGCATGAGGGGCACCTAGACAATATTAGGCAGGTGGTTTTAATGTTATGATTGATCGCTGTACCTCTTAAATGGTATTTTTAATGGTTTCGACCCTATATTTTTAAAATAAAACATTAAGTATGCACTTAAATATATTTCACTTAAAGTGTCGCATAAGCAATATCATAGAAACCTCTTTTTCCTGATAACATTAGTAGTGAAAGTACAAGCTGTGCAGAGACACAGGAGTGGCCAACGTCACAAGTACTTAGGCAATTTTTGTATTCATTTTCAGTATGCCACTAGAGGGAACCAATGTTCAATTCATCACAAAACGGCAATGTCCATCTTCCCCGGGTCCTGTGTGTATGGCTTTACTGCTGCTCAGGTAGTCACCATTTTTTCTGTAACTGGGACACCTGGACATTACACCCACAGAAACTATTATGACATCCCATCCTACCTCCATAGGCATCGACCTGCAGTTGGTCCCTCATTTGCAGCAATAGCAACTGCCACTCTTCTGGGAAGGTTTTCTGCAAGATTTTGAAGTGTGTCCATTCATCCAGAAGAGCATTTGTGAGGTCAGGTACTGATGCTGGATGTGAAGGCCTGGTCCGTAAGAGATCTCCACTGGAGCTAAGTAACCTAGCCCAACCCATGGAAAACAACCCCATACCATTATCCCTCCTCCACCAAACTGTACAGTTGGCAGTCAGGCAGGTAGCGTTCTCCTGGCATCTGCCAAACCCAGACTCGTCCATCAGACTGCCAGACAGAGAAGCATGATTCGTCACTCCACACACAGAACACATTTCCACTCCCCCAGAGTCCAGTGGTGCCATACTTTACTCCACTGCATCTGACCCTTGGCACTGCGCTTGGTGATGTGAGGCTTGCATGCAGCTGCTTGGCCATGGAAGCCCATTCCATGAAGCTCCCAGTGCACAGTGTTTGTGCTGGGATTAATGCCAGAGGACGTTTAGAACTCTGCAGTGATTGAGTCAACAGAGCGTTGGTGACTTTTATGCACTGTGCGCTCGGCGACCCTGATCTGTTACTTTACATAGCCTACCACTTCATAGTTTCTGTTGTTCCCAAATGCCTCCACTTTGCAATAATACCACTTACAGTTGACTGTGGAATATCTAGCAGGAAATAAGTTTCATGAACTGACTTATTGCAAAGGTGGCATCCTATGACAGTACCGCGCTTGAATTAACTGAGCTCTTCAGAATGAGCCATTCTTTCACAAATATTTGTAAACCTGACTGTATGGCGAGGTGCTTGATATTATATACCTGTGACAATGGGTCTGAATGAAACACCTGAATTCAGTGATTAAGAGGTGTGTCCCAATACTTTTGTCCATACAATGTATACCTTCTAAATTTTGCTGTTGAATTATTAAAAGATACCACGTGTTTTGTTTTACTGGGTCACGGCATGAGCTTGAACCCTATCCCAGAAAGCACTATGCACATTGCAGAGATATATACCCTGGACAGGGTGCTGGTACCTGTCAAAGCCAAACACACACACTGGCCTGGATAAGCTGCATAGAAAAAACAGCAGTTTAAAACTAAGGATGGGCCGATCCAAATTTTTTCAGTTCCGATCCGATTCCGATATATATCTGACGATACCGATACAATATTTTTTTTTTCTTTAATATTTTAATACATATATATATATATATACATATATATATATATATATATATATATATATATACACACACACACATATATACATATATATAATTTTATATTTTTGAAATTAATACAGATGAAAATCTTGAATTAGGCTACTATAAACATACATAACGTACTGTTCCACCTGGCTTGTGCATCTTTTTTTAAGCGTTTTAAGAGTCATTTGCAGTTCAATCTGAATATCTTCCAGGAGAGTATACATGTACTGTAAGTGGCGAATGCTTAAAATGCCCCACAATTTTTTTTTTGGCAACGTGTAGCCGATACCTGATCCGACAAGTAGGTCTGGATCGATATCGGATCGCTGCGTCTCTATTTAACACCATATATTGCATGCTGTATAGAAATAGGTCTAAATCTGTCCTTTTGTTTACGTTTTGTCTCAAAATAATGTGATATCTTTAATTCTTTGACATTTTAAAAAAATTCCCTATGTATAGACTTAATTTTGTTACATGGAAATTAGGTTGATATTGTTAATTAAGAGTTTATTCAGATTTCCCCTTAGAGTAATTGCACACAAAGTAACTATCAGACAAACAGCATGCTTATTAAATACCATTAAAACTACAGCATTTATTTGCTTTCCCTAAATTAATTATAAAACATACAATAGATATAATATGGATAATTGTTACAGTGCATTTTACCTAAACTTTAAAGACGTGCATGATAATGAAAGAACAGAAACATTAATAACACAATTACGAAACAATGGAACCTGGAGCTGTAGTAATATTTTACTGTTCAAAGGAACTAATCACTATCAAGGGATGCAAATCTGTTTGAATTACATTCGTCTCAATAGACTAAATTTGAGCTGCACTTAAGTAAGAAAGTTACAAGTACTTTACACAATCAATTAATGTGAAAATATTTTAAAAATACATACAATACATAAGTATGCAGAGCATGACAATTAGCACTTTGGTCGACAATCATCAATAACTAGTCTTTGCAAATGTACTGGAAATTAGGTAGGCTACAAATATGCTACAAAAATTAACCAAGTTAATCTTGGAAAAAAAAACAACATATAGACAACACATCCACAATCACTTCAATACAAGAAGTAATGGTTTTGCTGTAGAAATAATGTACAGCATAATTCCTTCAGTTGGAAAAAGGGGACAAAGTCATGGCTTCAGGAGGGGGATCAAATGAAAGTCAGAAATGTCTCTTGTGAATGAGTGTCCTTGGTGAAGGGGCTCATTTAACAATTAGCCATCTTCAGACCTTCAGTAGGCTCTCCGAATATCATAAGGTGACCATGAGCCAGCATCATCCTTCGACCAGGAGGGGGCGTCGCTGAGCACTGCTCCATGGTCTGACTCCTCGGAGGACAAAGGGGCTATTTTAGACGCCAGGTCACCAGGGGTGCTCATGTAGGGGGAGCACGTGTAGCCAGAAGTAGGTGGGTACAGAGTTGGGTAGTGCACCTCCTCTAGCGAGTGCAGGTAGGGCTGGGACCCGGGTGTGGCAGGACCCCGGCTAGAGGCGCGGTAGTTTACCGGGCTCCCAGAATCCGGGCTGGACAGCGAGGCCGGGGCCACCACAGGGGCCAGACTGTCGGAGCACAGCCCCTCGGCCTGACTCACGGTGTCTGCTGCCGTCTGCTCCCAAGCGTCTCTCTGCAGGCAAAACGTGGCGGTAGTAAAGGATACAGACAGCGGCCGGAGCATATCGCTGCTTCAGAAGCGGATGAAAACGCAAATTCGTTTATCCTGATTGGACAGAGTCTCGCGTTGTGTTTTTCAAAAACTATCATTTCCTGGGGCTGCAGCGTGATTGGGTGCAGGAGAAAACAGAATTCCTTCTGAAGATTTTTGAATGGGTGGAAGACAGAGTGGTAGTTTGTGGATGGGACTCATGCTAATGGTGCACTGATGTGGGAATTTTGTCTAATAGTACCCATAACTGGCTCTGAGCATCAGAAATCTGTAGGGAAAATAATGATAGTCGCATCCTAAGCTCTTGTGAATGTCGGTAGCAACATCATCATATAATGGAGGCGGTGAGACCTCAGTGAAGCAGGGGGGACTTGGGAGCCTATAGCAAGGCTCTAAGTGGTAAACAAGCCAATGAAGTCCCTTCTGCTCGGCTATGGAAAACGACTGATTGTTCAACTTGATCGTCTCCATTATTTCAGAAGTTGTGTCTTTAGCTTTGGTGCTGCTAACTTTGAATATTGGCTAAAGTCGAAATATCGACCGGCAA